GCAGGAATGGCTCAGAGTCCTAGGATTAAGTCTTTCTGTCTCTCTGATTAGCCGGACTTGGACTATATGTTTGTATCTGACTCAGTCACTGGTGCCAAGAGAATGTGATGCTCTGATTGGCTAAACTTGGGTCATATGCCACGTCTGGAGCTGGAGGGAGTCAGACCCACTACAATAACATGAAGTGAGAGTTGAGACAAGGTGGGACCCCAAATGACAATCTGGGGCTGTTACTGGAATTAGGGTAGGGTGACTAGAAGTTGGGCAGCCCCAAAATATCCTGAATATTTACTACGAGCTCAGAGTTTTAGAATGTCCAACAACAGAAATGCTCTTAGATCCAAGATTTTTTAGTTCCTAGTTCTGTGACTTTGAGAAAATTATGTAATATTGCTAAGCCTTGGTTTCTTCTATTTACTGAGTTAGCATTAACGACCTTGAACTCAAGGTAATGTGTATAATAATGTGTGTAAAGTACCTAAAAACAGTGCCTGACACATATTAGGCTAATGAGAATGAATCATAAAAAATGAGTCCTGGGCTTCCCTGGTGGCGCGGTGGTTGAGAGTCCGCCTGCCGATGCAGGGGACATGGGTTTGTGCCCCGGTCCGGGAGGATCCCACGTGCTGCAGAGCGGCTGGGCCCGTGAGCCATGGCCGCAGAGCCAGCGCGTCCGGAGCCTGTATTCCGCAGCGGGAGGGGCCACAGCAGTGAGAGGCCCGCGTACCGCAAAAAAAAAAAAAAAAAAAAAAAAAAAAGAGTCCTGGAAGAATATAGTGTATATTTGGCTGAGGCCTGAAGTATGGTTAATAGTGATATTCTTTGCCTAGTCTCAATTTGAACTGCATTCATTAATATTTACTAACATGTTCAGGAATCAAGCCTTTCTGTATATTTGGGTTAGAGACATATTATTTCTCCATAGTATTCTCCTTAGTCTTTGATTTTGGTTATTATTGAAATATTAGCTTGTTTTAGACTTTAGTTTTGAATATGTAATATATGGACTACATGTCTGCAGTAGAAGGTACAGAATGGATGGATTATTACAAAATCTTCAGAAAAAAGGCTAAATTACTTTTCTTTTGGATCTTCGATACCCTTTAATCACCCAGATAATTCCAGAAGCTCACAGCTTGCGGAGCACAGGCTCTGGACGCACAGTCTCAGTGGCCGTGGCTCACGGGCCCAGCCGCTCCATGGCATGTAGGATCCTCCTGGACCGGGGCACGAACCCGTGCCCCCCGCATCGGCAGGCGGACTCCCAACCACTGCGCCACCAGGGAAGCCCTCAGTTCATACATTTGACCTTCAGAAGCACTCTGAGGTCCTTGGAGATGCCTGAGACTAGTGGGTGAGGTTCACGGTGAGCTAAAGAGATCCATTAGACTGTGGGATCATTTCCAATTCTGTCTGAGATCTTGAAATTTGAAGCTAACCTTGGCCAAACTGTTGGTCCTCTAGGTTATTCTGGCCCTAACCTGAGCCACAAGGCTGCCCAGTTAACTATGGGGGTATAAGATAGCTTGAGACCTTACAAGGTTAAACTACCTGATGTTCATTTTCCTGCCTCACCGCATGTAAAAAAAAAAAACCCCACCAAAACTCTGGGAGATGTAGGTGTCTCCAGAGACAGGAGGACATTTGGCAGTCCAGAACACCTTGACTTTAATTAGCCAATGAGTTTAGAAACACAGTGCCTTGGAACTAGAAGGAGTCTCCGAGATCCAGTTGTCTGGCCCTGCCGCTTATTTTACCTGGGAATTTAAGGGACTTGCCCAGTGGCAGAGTTGCAGCTGTACCCATGGTTGTCATTGGGCATCTTATCTTAAAAATACACCCCACTCCCCCAACCATTGCCATGAATAGAAACATACACATATGCCACAAGATTGAATTAGGTGACTTCATATTTTGCTGACAGTCTAAAAATACAAGATGATACATGTAGCAAATGCAATTTTTTTTTTTTTGCCTTGGTCATTCTGAGGTCATGAAATAACTTGGAATTCTACGTAGGATTTCATGTACAAATAGCATTAAGATTAAATTGCTTGCCTATAGCTTCCTTTCATTAGAATGTAGAATGGGCTATGAAATTTGGTGCTAACCTAGAAAGAAGGTGGTATAGACACAGAAGGGGAGATACTTTTCTGGGTATTCATAATAACCATGTGTAATGGAATATGCAAAACTATAAATCTAAGGTATTAAAACATATCTTTTTGTGTCTAAAGACTTCAAGCACAACTTTGAACGTTTCTATCATGAAGAGTTCACTGAGAAGTGCAAGGAAGTGTTTGTTATTTCCAAGGAGTCAAACAGAACCTTTGAAATCTTGGAAAGATTTGCCTTAAAGGATGTGGAATTTAATTTTAATAATGCCGCAGCAGGCCCCAGCTTATCTATTCTCAGGTAAGATGTCAAGAAATCCCAAGCAAAGCAGCCTGACTTTAGTGAATATGATCCCCCAAATTTGGAATTTCTTCCCTCACTTCCCCCTTTCTGTGTCCATCCATGCCTGCAAGAGAGGCTTCCTAAAAGTCACCCCCAGCTTAGAATCTCCTTATCAGATATCACTCTGCAACTGCCAAGTTACTTCCCTTCAGTCTCCTTAAGAAGATTATAAATGCTGGAGGGCAGAGAGCTTGCCTTCTTTTTTAATCCTGTAGATCAAAGTTGGTCTAAATCATTCCTGTCAGTGATGGAATGATTTTAAGGAGAAGAAGCTGGATTAGGAAATATGAATAATGCATCTGTACAGTACTGTATAATTTACAAAGAGCTTCCACATACATCATCAGCTCATTATTAATTACATTAAGATATTCAGCCAGTACTTGTTAATTGCCGACTATGAGCCATAGCATTATTTGCGTTTGTGAGAATCGAGTTATCTTACCTAAAGTTTGCACTCCTTCACTGTTTTATCCAGTGTTGTCTGCATTAAAACCCCCATATCTTTTCCCACTCCGGGTGCTGACGTGCTCTGTTCGCCACCCACAGGCATGAAGAGACTGGGGCGTGAGGAAAGAATTGGGTTTGTCTGTGGTGTCCTTTCCAGTCTCAACCCTAGAAATAGGGAGGTTTTTGGGATCATTTTATTTTCTTCCATCCTCATCCTCCAGTTCTTATTACAGATCTCATTTATTCTGTGAGAGTTTGGGGATTTGAAATAAACCCACAGTGGCTAGGGTGTTTCAGGGTTTGCTCCACCGTGTCTGCCCCAGTCTCAGCACCCACTGTGATGTGCAGAGCTACCAACATTCTTGTGGTTCTGGGAACCCATGCCAAAAGGAAGACAATTTAATTGGTTAAAACAACATGGCGCTCAGTCAAGGTTTTTGAAACTACAAGAGTATGAAATATATGTCATCTGTTAAAAATCTTAGGTTTGAATAGGCAAGTCCATAGAGACAGAAAGTAGGTTAGTGGCTGTCAGGGGATGAGAGTAGAGGGGAACCGGGACATGACCCCTAATGGGTCTGGAGTTTCTGGGGTCCTGAAAATGGTCTGGAATTAGATAGTGGTGATATTTACTATATACTAAGTATACTAAAACCGACTATATACTTTAAAATGGTGGATTTTTTTTGGTATGTGAATTATATCTCACTTAGGTTATAATTTTAAGTATTTCAGAGTGGATGAGACATTTAATAAATTTTATTGCAATTACACAACTCCAGTTGTGCCCAATCAAAACACAACAATTAAATAAGTCCTTTGAGATTAGCTGTGTGGTCTTAATAACCAACCATCTAGAGCAATAGCGTTCTCTTTTTCTTCTCTTTTGAAGGGAGCCACAGTTTGCTTTGCAATGTTTTCATTTTCTATTTGTCCTTGAGAAGAAAGCATTAAGACCCTAGCTTATTTATGGGGGTATATTATATTTGTATTTTTCCTTCATTGGTTTTTACCTGCTAAGTGCCCAAACATGTTCTAGACACAGGGGATACAGCAGTGAACAAAAGACAAACATCCTTGCCTCCATGGAGCTTGTATTATGGAGACATGCAGCAGACATGATACATATGGAAAATATGTAGTAGGCTAGATGCCTGTAAGTGCTATGGAGCAAAATGAAACCCTGAAAGGGAATAGGCCATCTGGTAGGAGAGGAGGTGGCATTTGGGTAACTGCTAGAAGCAGGTGAGGGAGCAGGCTTTGCCAGTATGAGTTGGGAGAGTATTCCAGACAGAGGGAACAGCAAACACAGAGGTCCTGAGGCTGGAGGAACGGCAGGGAGGCCAGACAGCTGGAAGGAAGTCAGAGCTGTAGGGAGGGTGATGGGGTGAGGTTGGAGATGTAAGGGATGAGAGGAGGGTCTTGTCTGTTCTCATGCATCATTGTAAGGACTTAGACTTTTACTTCTTTTGAGTAGGGCAATGACCTATATGACATTTGATAAGTTCAGTCTGGTGGCTTGGCTGAGGAGAGACTGAAAGAGGGCAAAGGTGAAAGTGGGGCATCAAATCCAATCCAATCCTGCCATTCAAATTTGATGGTGAAATGACTAAAGCAATAAGGCATTGATTCCTAACTCATATTCATGGAGATGGAATTCTTATGGAGTATCTACTATGTAATGATCCTGCTATAGGTTTTCTATTTCAATAGGTTTTCAGACTGATCCTCTTGCTTTGCTGAACCTGAGTGTCAGGTTTATTTATTTTATTTCATTCACTCAATCAACAATTTATGATCAGGTACTGTGCCAGTCACTAACTATCCAGTAGTGAGTTAGGTAAGCCTGGTAAGTGCCCACGTGGAACTTACATCAATGAAAAATCACTAGACACATATTTATTAAATTACGTGAGGAACAGGGCTGGAGTCTTTATGCAGTGATACTCATGGACCTGGGACTCCTCTGCATTTCCAGAAGCTTTTCAGTGAAAAAATTTAAGCAACAGGACAAGCAGGGCCGGCTGGCTCCAGCATCATTTAGCATCACTACCTCAGCTACGAAGCTGGCTTTTCCCCCGGGGACGTAGACGTGGGCAGGGGAGTAGGAGCGGCTGCTGAGAGCACAGCTGGGCCTGGAAGGTCACGAGCAGATTCAGCTTCTTTGCAGAGAGCATTTTCCCGTGCCCGCCTCAGCTGTCCACAGCTGCAGCTCCTGCGTGGGCTGTGAGCCTGGGCGCCTCCCTAGTGGGAATGCTGAAACGCCCCTGGGTGAAGCTGACATTTCTGCTCCCCACCCACACCCTCGCTGGCCAGGATAAAGGGATCTAGCAGAGGAGAACTGCCCGCCCACCGGTATCCAGCTCTCCCAACCCGAGTGCACTTGCTTGCCCTGCAGCTGACATCCCTGCTGTGACAGGCTTCACAGAAGGTCAAAGTAGAGCCACCGCTTTTCCTACTTACATGTTTCCTTGCCCTGTTACTCCGGACCCTGGTGGCAGCCCTGACTAACAAGGAGTTCCATTTATTTATTTATTTATTTATTTTAATAAATTTATTTATTTATCTTTGGCTGTGTTGGGTCTTCGTTGCTGTGCACGGGCTTCCTCTGGTTGCATCGAGTGGGGGCTACTCTTCGTTGCGGTGCGCAGGCTTCTCATTGCGGTGGCTTCTCTCGTTGTGGAGCACAGGCTTTAGGCACGTGGGCTTCAGTAGTTGTGGCATGTGGGCTTCAGTAGTTGCAGCATGTGGGCTCTAGAGTGCGTGCTCAGTAGCTGTGGCACACGGACTTAGTTGATCCGTGGCATGTGGGATCCTCCCGGACCAGGGCTCGAACCCATGTCCCCTGCATTAGGAGACGGATTCTTAACCACTGTGCCACCAGGGAAGTCCCGGAGTTCCATTTATTAAAGGCTTTTCAAGTGCCAGGTGCTGTGGCTAAGGGCTTCATCAGCATCTCTCTCTCTTTTTAAATTTATTTTTGGCTGCGTTGGGTCTTCGTTGCTGCACGCGGGCTTTCTCTAGTTGTGTTGAGTGGGGACTACTCTTGGTTGCGGTGCGCAGGCTTCTCGTTGTGGTGGCTTCTTTTGTTGTGGAGCGCAGGCTCTAGGCACGCAGGCTTCAGTAGTTGTAGCACGTGGGCTCAGTAGTTGTGCCTCGCCGGCTCTAGAGCGCAGGCTCAGTAGTTGTGGCACACAGGCTTAGCTACTCCACGGCATGTGGGATCTTCCTGGACCAGGGCTCGAACCCGTGTCCTCTGCATTGGCAGGCAGATTCTTAACCACTGCGTCACCAGGGAGGCCCCCAAGAGGTTTTTCTTGATATAATAGTACAGTTACGCTTCTGTGAAATACAGTTACCCTCTCCACTTGTACACAATAGATTAAAAATGCTTGCTACATACAGTGCATAGACAGTTCAATAATTAGAACCAACTCATCTGTGTTTGAAATAAAATAGCTTATTTAGTCATTTAAAGTAAAATAACTATACATATGAAAATAAAGATATGTAAATGTTAGGATCTACAAGGCTGTAAAAATAAAATCATTATTCTGCATTATACAAAACAGTGCAAGAAAAATTCTAAATAAGCTTTTGGAGCACAAATTATAAATTTTCCATTTTAACTTATCATGCAGACAGCATTTCAAACCATGTTATAGTCTATAGCCAGGTTCTTAATTTTTAAGAGGAAAAAATCCTAGTCAGTAAATTTTACTGTATGATTAAGTGTCACATGCCATAAAATATTGACATCTCATTTATTGCTCTCAGTAAGCCCTTGACAGCATTATCGTCCCAGATAAAGAGATGGGATGGATGGCTGGGTCACACAGCTACACGTGGGCAGAGCAGGGAGTTCAAACTCTGGTCTTTGTTGTGTTCAAAGCCCCGACTCCTCATTACTGCACTGTCTTGCCCCTTTGAGCCAACAGAAGGACATTTCTCTCTTTTGGATGATTTCCATCGGGGTCCTCTGCCAGCATCGATTATCAGGAGAGTCTGCAGAGAGGTCATTGATGTGGAACGGGTGGAAATACTAGCAGGAATCCTTGGCAGCCCTTGCCAGACCCTTGTGCCCTGGGCTCGGCTGACTTCTCCAGCCTTTTGCTCCACGGGGATGGTTTCCTTGGAGCAGCCAGTCATGTCCATCCCTCTGAGTCTGCCCACTCAGTTCCCTTCTCCTGGAATGCCCTCCCCTTTCCTCAGGTCAGGGAAATCCTTCTCATCTCTTACAGCCCTATTTAAAGGTCACCCTCTCTAGAAGGGGGGCTGATGGGTGCCTCTCTCCCTCACCCCTAACTTTGATCAGGTGGCAAGGATAGCCCCAGTCCCAGTGTATTCTAGTTTATGTGGATGTCTCCCTGCAAATGCTGTCAGCTTGCCTTTCTGGGCCCTCGGGTGACTCACACCTGGTCCTGTCATTCTACGTTTTATTGTCTCCCTCTATAGTCCTGTGTGTTCAGGAACCATGTCTATTTTATTGGCCATTGTCATACTCAGTGCCTGGCACAGACAGAGCCTGACGCATAGAAGGTTCTCAATAAATTCATATTGAATAATGAGAGACAGTAGGACAACACTGCCCAAAAGAGAAAAAGTTAGTCAATCACTAAGCCACTTTGTTACTAAGTATAATGGAATTGCATCAATTAACTTTTTTTCTTTCCCCATTAATTTAGCTATCCCAACTGGGTGTTTAAACAGTTAAGCTGTTACCATTTAAATTAGGCAACAGGCTGTTGTCATTTAGTAGAGACAGTTTGGTTCTGCCAGAATAACGAGAAATGTTGAGGATCATTTTCCAATACTAGTGATGCTGACTTACTTTGTCTTCAACATCATTTTGAGGAGAAATCATTCTAACCACCCAAAATGTGATTTTAAAAACACTGAACATATGTTTTCCTTCGTATACAAGGATAGAAATCAACAAGAATCATCCTTGAATACTTTTTTCTTAGAATTTTTTTTTGCTGATTATTATTAGTGATATTACATTTTATGATTGTCAGGCTGTGTATTTTTTTGAGGTTTGTTCACCTCCGTTTTGCTATTTAACCTCTACACCAGTTTTGTGAGACAGACAATCCACACCTCCCACCTGTGATTGCGCAAGAAATGTTGACCCACACAGCTTGCAAACTCAAATGGAGTAATCTTTACATAATTCCTTGTTGTTTGAAGAAAAGCTATTAGAAGAAGTGTTTTAAAGGCTTCTGATCATCTGTGTGTCCAAGTCCCTTCACCTCTAGGCCAAGGTGTCCTCATCTGCGACATGAGGGGTTTAGATGAGACTAGAGGATCTGCAAGAACCCCTTTTGTTCTAAAATTCTGTCATCGAAGGCCTGACATCTCAACATTGCCCATATTTTAAATATTTTTTTAAACTCAAAGGATAAAGCATCAAGATTAATTTTTCTCTTCCCATTCTTGAAAAATATTTTTAATTGTGTGACACAAGCTGAAACTCTGCCTTTTTTGATGCCTTCTCCTTTATATCTCACATTCGTATATGACTTTCAAGTCATTGTTTTTGTGGTCATTTTCTGATATAAAAATATCTTTAAAAATCAATAATCCACTTATAAAATAAGTCATGGAGATGTCATGTACAGCATGGTGACTATAGTTTAGTTAACAATACTGTATTGCATTTTTGAAAGTTGCTAAAGAGTAAATCTCGAAAGTTCTCATCACCAGAAAAAACGTTTATAACTCTGTATGGTGACGATGGTAGCTAGACTTACTGTGGTGATCTTTTCCCAATGAATACAAATATTGAATCATTATGTTGTACATAATGAGGTACATAATGATACCTTAATTAAGGTATCAGTGCAGGGCTTCCCTGGTGGCGCAGTGGTTGAGAGTCCGCCTGCCGATGCAGGGGACACGGGTTCGTGCCCCGGTCTGGAAAGATCCCACATGCCGCAGAGCGGCTAGGCCCATGAACCATGGCCGCTGAGACTGCGTGTCCAGAGCCTGTGCTCCCCAACGGGAGAGGCTGCAACAGTGAGAGGCCCACGTACCACAAAAAAAAAAAAAAAAAAAAAAAGTATCAGTGCAACTCTCTACTGTAATACAATGGACAAAGACAGAGAAAGTAATTTATTATAAAATTATGTGTATTTCAACATGTAAGCGCGCAGACATGATTCCAACAGAAGACACAGTGGAGTAGGCTGGTGCCTGCCTCTGTGTGGGAAACGACCCTGAAAGCAATAGCTATGGTCTAGACTGACGTGGGTGTGCTGTATTCAAGGCACAAACATCATGAGCAGTATTCTCTCAGGGTGTGATTTTCTGAAATGGTGAACAAATGTTGGTATCATTTCAGACAAAACAACGTATAAGCTTCTATCAGTCTCACATGGTAGTTACGTTCTTAGAAAATTCAGCGTGTTTTAAACCCATGCGAAAAGCACTTTGCATTTATGTGTAAAATAGAGCTGTTTCTAGGTTAGTGATTATAAAGTCCCTCCCCACACACACACCATGTGACTGTCTGACAGAACGTTTGAAAGTCAGACCCTGGGACAGAGCTTCATTGTGTGTGACTGGCTGTGTTGTGGGATGTCTAGAATCCCTGAACACCGCTGTTGAGTACCACTGCTCTAAGTGACTTCCTGGTTTCTGAATGTTCGTGGGATTTCCTACCTCCAGGCCTTCATCTCTGCCTTGTCTTGCTTGAGATACCCTTGCCCTCAACTCTACCTGTGTATTCTCTGAGGCTCATTCCCAATGTCTTCTGCATGAAAATTTTCTTTATTGTGATGGGTCTGCTTCAAACCTCAGTAGCCTTCAGACTCATATTCTGCCTTAAACTGTGTCTACAGACCCCATTTCCACTTCCTTTAGCTTTTGACTTTATATTATAGATCATTTTATCTCGTCTATCTCCTAGGCGTCTAGCACAGAACCTTGTACATAATAGGCAACCAATAAATATTTGTTAAACCTAATTACTCTCAGTGATTCTAACAGCATCTTCATACATCTGAGAAATTTAATCCATTCCAGCTTCTTTGCATAACTTGATTTTCTAGATCCTAACATGCCTAAATTTCTTCAAAAAATATTGCTTTTGAAAATTAAAAGCAAGGCAGAAGTTGTATGTAATAAAGTACTCTTAGAATATTAGGAAGTTGATTATAATTTGGGGTTGCTACTACTATGTCACTTAATCACAGTCTGCAAGTTGGTCCTCTCAAATCACTTCCTTTATTCTTTGCTGCTTCATAACCTAATTCTCCCTGGGAATTTCCAGAATCCAAGCTCTGGAGTCCATTACTATGGGCTGAGAAATTTAGGACTGGTTGTGTTAGGTTTAAAAATGGGCCAATAAAAAAAAAAATTAAACAAAAAAGGGCCAGGACCCAAGAGGCTAGGTGGTGGGTGGGAGGTGTTGTGTGTGTGCACTGCTGGACCACCCAGGGTGGTGGCCGTGACCCCTAAGCAGGCACCTGATGTTAAGGATCTGCTGAAGCTTCACAGGTCACATAGCCTGACTTCTCTTTCTTCCCATCCAACTCTTTGTGATGATCAACATTTGCATTTTGGAAAGTGATAGTAGTGCTTTGGATCATACAGAATATTTTTTTATATAAAATCCTGAAGATATATAGGAGGCATCTGGTGGTAAATATCATTACCTGTTTTGGGCTGAATATTTTGAGGCTGCTAATCACGTATCAGTATATGTGTCAGCTGTACAGCTGTGAGTAGCACTCATTGTTCCCAACCCCTTCTGCCTCTTCATCCCATTAACATGTTTTAACAATGATGGAAACATTTTCAGCTGATTTGAGCACATTTCTGTGCTGTAGGTACCCAGCTTGAGACTGATATTCTCAATGAAGATGCAAATATCTTGGTCTTTTCACTTCTTGTAGAAGTGTGTGTATTGCTTCCGTCAGTGTAAAGCCATGTATACTTGTACTAGATGGAATCGAAGAATTGGTTGGCATTTATGGGATTTCAGGAGAGAAGGTAATCTCGTTTTAAAATAATACCTATTTTATTACTATTTAATAAAAAGAAAACCCCTTAATTTAGAATGTACATAGCACCATTCCATTGTATTGCCTATCTATAGTTATAGCCAGCACTGCTGCTTGCTACTGCTGAATATTTTATGGAACAAATACTTATATAATACTTACAATGGGCCAGGTACCATTCTAGGAACTTTAGAGATATTAACATTTAATTCTCACAACAACTCTGTGATAGAGAGATTGTGACCATCATCCCTGTTTGCACAGAGGGGACTGGACTTGGAGATATTAAATGACTTGTTGAAGGTCCTAAGATGATGGTGGACTTGGAATTCGGGCGTGGGCAGCCTTGTTCTAGAAACTGTGGCCTTTACTCCTGCACGGTTCTGCCCCTCTATTTTATACTTTGATCATACATTTATTGGGCTTCTACTATGCTCTTTAGTTTGTATATTTTGATCTGCCTTGTCTATACTGATTCTGCACATACCAAATCCCATTGATCGGTTGCTATCTTTAGTTTTTCTTCTGTTTGAAGTGATATTGGATCAATGGAACCTCTAATGCTTCTTAGCATCAGTCATTACTTTGTGAAGCATTTTCTCTAAAACTTCTACATGCATAATTATGAATTATGTAAGCATGTATGTTTCTCATAGGAAATATGATAAAGAAGAAGAAAATAGAAAATTAAATATACTCACAGCCTCACCACTGTTAAGCCTTCTTTTTCCTGTGCATATCTTCATGTAAATGCAATTATATACCCTATTATGTTGTAATCTTTTTGGCCATAAGCAGGGCTCTCCTGTTGTGGAGCACAGGCTCCAGACGCTCAGGCCCAGCGGCCATGGTTCACGGGCCCAGCTGCTCCATGGCATGTGGGATCTTCCCGGACCGGGACACGAACCTGTGTCCCCTGCATCGGCAGGCGGACTCTCAACCACTGAGCCACCAAGGAAGCCCTGTCATCTATTTTTTAATTCAATACATGGCGACCACAATACATCCAACAAGCAATTATTTATTTATTTATTTTTCAAAAAGTAATTATTGACCATTTAGTATGGGAAAAGCACTGTAAGCGGACAGACATGGTCCCTGCAAAGAAATGGAGCTTTCATTCTAGCAGGGAATGGCAGATATTAATATTATCATCACACAAATAAGTATAAAATTACAATTGTGATGAGTGCTGCCAAGGATCAGTATGTAGTAGTGTGAGGGCCTCTAATGAAGGCACTTGACCTTTGGAGAAGGCTTCCTGGAAGAGGGGCCACAGGCAGAGCTCTGCAGGAGGAGGAGGGACTGTGCAAGCAGTTCCCTGAGGCATCAGTGCAGTGGTGAGGACCCTTGGTTTGAATCCCAGCTCTGCTACTTACCATCAGAATGAATTAGATGAGACATTTAGGCCCTCTGTGCTTCGGTTTCCTCCTCTGCCTTTCTAGAGTGTTGTTAGGAGGACTGAATGAGTTAATGAATTAAAATTATACCCGGGATTTCAGTTATAGAGGGATGACTGAGTGATGGCATGGGAAAACAAACCAATGGTGTTGAAAAAAGAATGTATTAATTACATTTCCGGAGCGGAGACATGCCTCACCTCGCAGGGCCCCGGGGGTAGTATCAGGGTGGGCAGGAGGCAGAAGACAGCAGCTGGGGGAAAGCTGAGGCCAAAGCCTTTTTTGGGGTTTTCATGGGAAAGGCAGGGTAAGGCAGAGAAACAGTCTAGGATTGGCTAGCTTGGATAATCCCGGTGGGCTTTGGGGCATAGGGGCTTTCCCTAGTTGTCTGGTATCTGGCCAAGCGAGAGTTAGATAAGGTGGGTATAGCATAGCTGTGGGTTGGCTGGTCTGCACATAGAAGGCATGTTCCAAACAAGCTGGAATTGGCTGGCCTTGGGAGGAGCAATCTCTCCCTGGATCTGTAAGGCCCCCCCGCCCCCGAGAGATATCAAAATAACATAAGATACAGAAAATTTAAAAACGTACCTAATGCAGTTGGTACCTGATGACACATTCAACACAGTGCGTGGCTCAGAGTAAGTAGTCAGGATATGATAGTTGCTATTATTAGGCAGAGAGGGGTGGGAAAGCCTGTTAAAGGAATCTGGGAAGATCTTATCAGGTGTTTCTTTTATTCCAAAATAAAACCATTTAACTTATAGTATTGCTGCCCAAAGCAACAGTTCTTCAGCATAAAACAGTGTCTTCTTTTTCAGTTGAGTAGTTCAATTTGAACTTTCTTGGTTTTACTCTGTTCATCACTGTAGGTCGTTCTTCAGAAGTCTGTGATTTTGTTAAAGTACTTAATTGTAGGAACTTCTTTTTAGAGTCCACATTTGTACTATCAAATTCGTAATAGATAGGTGAGTCAGTCAATATGGTTCTATGGGGTGTGAATTGGTATTGTCTTACCACCATACTGCTTGCTATCCAAGGTATGTTGCGGTCTGGGAGCCACACGCCTGGAGTCGAGTTCCCCAGTAAATGCGACCCGTGTCCCAACCAAAGACACCCGAGAATCACCAACACCAAGTAGAAAGATTAGCAAAGGATTTATACAAGTATAGAAGCTTACACAAACTGTCCGGACAGGATCCCACTCGGAGAGAAGTGAGTGAGACCCCGACTAACAGTCGGGCGAGGCTTTTATACCCTTCACAGGGCGTGAAGTCCCCAAGGCGGGAGGGAGCTGTTTAATTTTGAATCAGCCAATCAGGAACCCAGTTCTTCCCGCCCCAAGCAAGCAAGCAAGTTCCCTCTTTACAGAAGCCAAGGTACACCGTGGGCTATTCGTTCCAGGAAGGGTACGCTCCCTTCCTGTTCCTGAGCAAGCAAGCAAAGCAACTTTCTTACAGAAGCCAAACTGTGCTGTTAGCCCTGAAGCTGTTCCGTTTCTTTCGTCACAGGTACTGTTAATAATTGTAACCCTAGCACTTACCCTATATGCCACCTACTCTAACTTTATTAAAAATTTTTTTAAAAAATTGAAATATAGTTGATTTACAATGTGTTAGTTTCAGGTGTACAGCAAAGTGATTCAGTTATACATATATCTATATATATGTGTGTGTGTGTGTATATATATATATATATATACATATATATATTCTTTTTTACATTCTCTTCCATTATAGGTTATTACAAGATATTAAGTATAGTTCCCTGTGCTATACAGTAGGTCCTTGTTGGTTACCTATCTTATATATAGTAATATGTATCTGTTAATCCCAAACTCCTAATTTATCCCTCCCCCCCATTTCCCCTTTGGTAACCGTAAGTTTGTTTTCTATGTCTGTGAGTCTATTGCTGTTTTGTAAATAAATTCATTTGTATCATTTTTTTAGATTCCACATATAAGTGATATCATGTGATGTTTGTCTTTCTCTGTCTGACTTACTTCACTTAGTATGATAGGTCCATCCATGTTGCTGCAGATAGCATTATTTCATTCTTTTCTATGGTTGAGTAATATTCCATTGTACTTTATCCATTCATCTGTTGATGGGCACTTAAGGTTGCTGCCATGTCTTGGCTGTTGTAAATAGTGCTGCTGTGAACATTGGGGTGCATGTATCTTTTTGAATTATGGTTTTCCCTGGATACATGCCCAGGAGTGGATTGCTGGATCATATGGCAGCTCTATTTTTAGTTTTTTTTTTTTTGCGGTACGCGGGCCTCTCACTGTTGTGGCCTCTCCCGTTGCGGAGCACAGGCTCCGGACGCGCAGGCTCAGCGGCCATGGCTCACGGGCCCAGCTGCTCCGCGGCATGTGGGATCTTCCTGGACCGGGGCACGAACCTGTGTCCCCTGCATCGGCAGCGTACTCTCAACCACTGCACCACGAGGGAAGCCCTATTTTTAATTTTTAAGGGAACCTCCGTACTGTTCGCCATAGTGGCTGCACTAATTTACATTCCCAACAGCGTAGGAGGGTTCCTTTTTCTCTACCACCTACTCTTAAGTTTAAAAACCATCAGCAAAGTAGTTTTAAAGTCATGACATTTTCAACTGTCTTTGACTCGTTCTGTCAGGCAAAAGACCTTTCCTGGCAGCCAGGCTTGCTGTCTCCTCATTGCAAGTTTATCATGAGCGCTGTCTCCGGAGTCCAGCCTGTCCTACAAGTTGCTGTGTGCCCGCCCAGACGTGAGGACGGTGGAGCTCATCAGCACAGAAGATGAAGAAGCGAAACGACATATCTTTAGACAGTATCTCCCCCTTCCCAGCAAAGACCCCTTCCGACAGAACAGACGCAGCTTGAGGAAAAAACCAAATCTGAGTACTTTAAAACTCACAGTCCTGGCAAATGAACTGAAAGAATGCAGAATCTACTGAAATGAGTTTCAGTGTCTGAAGGAGTATTTGGGGGTGGTCCCCATTCAGGAGCTCTGGGAAGTGATTCTGAAACGCTGGACTGAAGACTATAGTTGGACTTTGAAACAAAAAAAGGCAAATTCAGACACTGTGGCTTCAGGAGAAGGTAGGCGTTAGCCAGTATTAACAACCTGGTACGATTCCACAGGGAGAAAGACTCCACCTGGGGAGGCGGGTCTAGGGAGAGGATTGTCAGAGAAAGTACAGGATGCCCAGTTAAATTTGAATTTCAGACAAACAACCAATAACCTTTTAGTATAAGTGAATCCCAGATATTGCATGGGAAATACTTATACTAAAAATTGTTTGAATTACAGATAAGTAACAAATAATCTTGAGTATAAGTATATGTCCAATATTCCATGGGATATACTTATGCCAAAAATTGATTTATTGTTTACCTGAAATTTGGATTTAGCTGGAGGCTCTATATTTGTATTTGCTAAACCTGGCAGCCCTATCTAGGGAGGTGTGTGTATTGATTGTAAGAAGAGATGTATTAAGTACAAATTTCAGTCACATTTCTCAGGGGTCTAAGGAATGAGCCTTTATTATTTCTGTACTTCAATTTAATCTCTCTTTTGAGCCTACAGTCCCACTGATGGCAGAAACTAGGTTAATTCAGGTTAATCTCATCAGTTTAGGTGTTTTCAGTCAATTCAGGATTTTTTTCAGTCAAGTGAGGCTTTGTGACCTTGCTGTGTCCCTGTTGGGTTGTGCTGAGATCTGAGGGCCTTGGTGCTGGGTGTCCTTGGTTGTCATCTGTTCCTGCCATCTTCCACCAAGGTGGTCGTGGCTCCACATGGTCCACAGACACCGATGTGCCCCCACTTTTGGCATCCTCGGGGATTCCTGTGGTTGCGTCTGTTCTTGGGTTGTTCCATCTGTGCTGCCATCTGCTGCCATGTTCCCTCATCCTCACGTGCACCCCTCAGCTCCCTTCTGCACTCTTCCTGAGCCTACAGTCTTGTAGGTACTCAACGTTCCCAACAGAGAATGTCACCACTCACTGCACCACTTGGAGGCCCAGGCCCTATAGGTCTCCCCCATTGTCCCCACAGCCATTTCTCCTCTCTGGTTCTTCCTGGTGGCATTGGGAAATCTGCAAAGCTGCTGCCTTCCAGGCTTCCGATGGGAAGCAGAGCTCAGGTCTTTCCTACTATCGGGTCTCCGAAGCATCCAGAGGCCAATCTCTCCCTGCTGCAAGCTACCTTGGGTTCAGGGGAGGGCACAGGCCCCTTCTCAGAAACCTACTTATGCAACTTCATTGCTTTCTCTCTCTCTCTCTGTGTCTCTGTCTCTTTTTTAACACCTTTCTGAATTCAGCAAAATCTCTTTTCTTCCTGTGTGGGAAAAATAATCTTTAGATCTTCCTGTAATTGTCTGAGTCTGTTTTTTGTGGTTAAAAAAAAAATTATTCCAGGAGTTGGCCAGGAATCTGTCTTTTGATATTCAACAATCAGGCTTTCGAGAGCCCAAGCGTGTTCTTGTGAGCCATTGGCTCTACCATGAGCTTCAGAAGTCTCTTGAAACCTGAGTTTTTCTCTCTTCATTTCTGCTGTAACAACCTTCTTCTAAGTGAATTAGAATGCAGCAGTGATGGGGAGGCAGGGCTGCGGAGAGAGAAGCAGAAGATGCTGGGAATGAAAGACACGTGGTTTGGTGCCGCAGCATATCGTCCTGTCCCATTGTTTTGCTCTAGAGTTTGCATTTCTGCAAAGAAAGTGAACTTCAAGTTTACTGTGCCCTCCCCCACCTGCAAGGAGGTGGAAGCAAGGTCTCTGTGCCCAGGGAAGAATCATTCAGGTAGAGCCACCCACGGCTGTGCCCTTGGCTATCCCCACGTCTCCAGGATTGTGCAGGAAAGCCCGGTCCTCCTCTGCAGGGACTGCTCCTTTTCCAGGTGACTTTCTTCCTCCCATTGCTGCCCACTGACACCCACTCAGGCCCAGGGAGCTCAACCACAGATACGGGAAGAGCTTGGTTAAACTGGGGTAAACCTCGCAGGAAGCTTGTGCAGTTGGGTCTGAACAGCTGCCTCTGCTGAAAGATCGCAGGTATTTGGGGCTCATTCCCCAATCCTAGCATAGGAAATCAATTTTGAATGGTAGAACTTGCTGTCATTTCTCTCCGTGGTCTTAAGGATCTCTTTAGAGTTGGTTGATCCAGTGGGAAATCCAGCTACAGTGGAAAAAATCTGAGAGTCAGGTGAGTAATGAGTGGCTGGCTCACGTGTGTGTGACTGTGGCAGGACAGCAACCATACAGAAAACCCTCTCACATCCATACGTGCAGATCTGATGTTGTAAATCTTAATAAAGACTGCTCAGCAGAAATGCTAAGTGTCATAACTGGCAGGCTTGTCAGTTTGTAACCGTAGCTGACACAGATGGAGTTGTAACAATGTAGGTGATAACTGTAGACTTAAAAAAACTGCACAACATGAGAGTTGCGAGTTAAGTTTTATTTGGGGCAAAATGAGGACTATAGCCCAGGAGACAGCGTTTCATATAGCTCTGAGAACTGCTCTGAAGACGTAGGGGGAAGGTCAGTATATATATGATTTTGGTGAAGGGGGAGTACATGTAATCAAGTCTTTATTGGAGTATAATTGCTTTACAATGGTGTGTTAGTTTCTGCTTTATAACAAAGTGAATCAGTTATACATATACATATGTTCCCATATCTCTTCCCTCTTGCGTCTCCCTCCCTCCCACCCTCCCTATCCCACAACCTCTAGGTGGTCACAAAGCACCGAGCTGATCTCCCTGTGCTATGCGGCTGCTTCCCACTAGCTATCTATTTTACATTTGGTAGTGTATATATGTCCATGCCACTCCCTCACTTTGTCACAGCTTACCCTTCCCCCTCCCCATATCCTAAAGTCTATTCTCTAGTAGGTCTGTGTCTTTATTCCCATCTTGCCCCTAGGTTCTTCATGACCTTTTTTTTCTTAGATTCCATATATATGTGTTGTTAGCATATGGTATTTGTTTTTCTCTTTCTGACTTACTTCACTCTGTATGACAGACTCTAGGTCCATCCACCGCACTACAAATAACTCAATTTCGTTTCTTTTTATGGCTGAGTAACATTCCATTGTATATATGTACCACATCTTCTTTATCCATTCATCTGTCGATGGACACTTAGGTTGCTTCCATGTCCTGGCTATTGTAAATAGTGCTGCAGTAAACCTTGTGGTACATGACACTTCTTGAATTATGGTTTTCTCAGGGTACATGCCCAGTAGTCGGATTGCTGGGTCATATGGTAGTTCTATTTTTAGTTTTTTAAGGAACCTCCATACTGTTCTCCATAGTGGCTGTATCAATTTACATTCCTACCAACAGTGCAAGAGGGTTCCCTTTTCTCTGCACCCTTTCCAGCATTTATCGTTCGTAGATTTTTTGATGATGGCCTGAATGGCCAATTCTTATCCTGCCCCCCCCCCCCATGAGCAAGTGTTTTTTTGTTTTTTTTTTTAATTTATTTATATTTATTTTTGGCTGTGTTGGGTCTTCGTTTCTGTGCAAGGGCTCTCTCCAGTTGTGGCAAGCGGGGACCACTCTTCATCGCGGTGCGCGGGCCTCTCTTGTTGCGGAGCACAAGCTCCAGACGCACAGGCTCAGTAATTGTGGCGCACGGGCTTAGCTGCTCCGCGGCATATGGGATCCTCCCAGACCAGGGCTCAAACCCGCGTCCCCTGCATTGGCAGGCAGATTCTCAACCACTGCGCCACCTGGGAAGCCCCGCAAGTGTTTTAATTAATGAGTGGCCTTCCCTATGGGACCACTGCACGGTATGAGGACTCTGCATCCACCCCTCCCGTAAATTTCTTGGTCGCTGGAATCTTTCAACTAGCCCCCCGCCCTCCCCGCCAGTATCTTTCAACTGGGAGAGGCAGGTACCTGCTCTACACCGCCAACTACAACTCCGGATCATCAACCAATATGGGAGATCCGAGAACCAGGAGAGACTCACCCAAATTCGTCTGGACTCTCCGAGGAGGCAGATGGGTGCAAGGGGACTCTGCTGGTACCAAGGGTCTGGTCCCTTGCAGAGTTCAGGCAAAGGAGAGAAGTCCACTCTGGGTCCTTTCGTGGTTGCCATAAAACTGTCGACTTAAAAAAACTGCACAACATGAGAGGTGCAAGTTAGGTTTTATTTGGGGCAAAATGAGGACTATAGGCCAGGAGACAGCATTTCAGATAGCTCTGAGAAACTGCTCCAAAGAGGTGGGGATCAGGTCAATATATATGTGATCTTGGTGAAGGGGGAATACATGCAATCAAGCACACATTCTTTGCAGAAGGTTTCTGCTACTCTCGTGAAGGTTACTGCTAGTCACGAGGCGCAACGTCACCATGAAGGATTTTAGTGCTTTTCTAGATACGAGGAGATGCAAGAATTGGGCTCATAAAATCTTCTCCTGAAAATATCTGACTATCTGATGACCTGTTCTGCCAGTTTTTCCCAGAGCACAGAGGGCCTCATTCCTGATCTGAACTCCTTTCAGGGGGTGTTGATGGTCAGCAGCTGCAGCGGCTCATGATTTAATCCTTGTAGAGGTAGATGGCAAGTGCTAATGGCAAGTGCCAGTTTGTTGTTGACAATATATAGATACACAGATTTATAGAAAGAGATTTATTATGAGGGTTTGGCTCATGCAGTTATGGAGGCCGAGGAGTCCTATGATCTGCTGTCCGCAAGCTGGAGGCCCAGGAAAGCCTGCGGTGCATACAGCTATAGTCCAAGTCCAAAGGCCCGAGAACCAGGGGAGCCAGTGGTATAAGTCCCAGTCCAAGAATGAAGGTCCGAGAGCCAGGAGTGCTGATGTCTGACTGCAGAAGAAGATAAATGTTCCAGCTCAAGCAGAGAGCTTGTCCTCTGCATTTTTTTCTGTTCGGGCCCTCATCCCACTTGCTTTGGTGAGGGCTGGCAATCTTTTTTATTCCGTCTACCAATTTAAATGCTTATCTCTTCCAGAAACACCGTCATAGACACACCCAGAGATAAAGTTTTGCCAGCTATCTGGGCCCCCCTTAGCCCAGTCAGTGAACATGTAAAATTAACCAGCACAGGGGTTTCCATATCCTCCTCAAGA